TAAATTTCTTTGTGTCAAACCTATACAGGGTGTCTAAGCAAGTAACTGACAAGCTAATTAACTAATCCGTGCAGCAGAGATCTTTTTCAGAAGCTAATAGTTATTCATATGGTCGAGATAATTAACCATATTTTGTGGAATCCGAAAGCCCGTCGTAACCATGGTAAAAGGAGATTGCTACTGTATTCTGCCAAGTGCTCCATGAATCGAATTCAGACTTCTGTACCCTGTCTCTTTTAAGATGCCTAGATAATTCAAGTGGTCCTTTCCTTAAAACTTTCACTGTAGAAATCTCACTTACTTGCATGCTACATTCATGTCCATCTCGATCTTTCATCGGTTCATAATTCTGTCAATTTACCAACCCATTAAAGCCCAGTGGTAATTAGACGTACCACCTACTTTAACAATCGATAACAGTACATTTTGTAGGTTTTATATGATTTTTAGTGTAAACAGCGTTAACAAATTGGTCTTTATACCGATGAAAAGTTGTTTTCTTCGCGGTACGGCCTGAATTCTGAATTTTAAAATATTTGTTTATGTGCCCCACACTTCAAAGACATTAATTCCAAATATTCCTTCTTCCAAACTAATTGAAAATGCCTTTGTACACAGAACTAATAATTCGAGTAAAATATTTTGTTAGATTTTGCCTTGTGATTTTCGGAATAAAAATATTGCCTCATATTTAGCCCTGAAGATGGAGGCTGTAAGTTCCTCCATATTGTTGGTGTTCAGCAAAACTGTACGACACTCGATAGTGAGTCAGGTAATTAAGCATTGTCGTATAAACCTCATATTCTGTGTTAATTTAACAGAACTGAAGTAAGGAATAGCAAACCGTGAATTGGAGTCATGTATTAACGTGCATATTTTCTTATACGACGACCAAACAAGGATGAGCGTCGAAGCTTCGTCACTGATTGACCGTGCCCTGTTTGAGCGATCGAGAAATCCGACGGTGAAATTCTGAAGACCGGTCTATACCGAGTTGCTGAAGATCGCAATGAACTGTTGGAGTGTCGATGTGGGAGGGGCATTTGCTCTAGATGGGCGCTCAGCATGAATGCAAAGGACAGATGGCCGGCGAACCAAAACTTGACTTCGCTCATATAACCAACTCTCTCGCATTCATATCGTGTATTGATTTATGATTGGTAAGGGAACAAGAAACACTAAGACATTTTCAGAGGGGATGAAAGATAATTAAAAACCAGGATAAAATACAGTACGATCTCGTCAGCCATGTGATTGCGATACGTCATTATCGTCTGAAGTTTACGAGGAAAATAACTTAATTAACAATTAACTATTTGAAATATCAAAATGAAGGAAAAGTGAATATATAAAATATACAGGGTGATTCTTTGTTCCCAAAATCAAACTGAAATGCTAAAAGAATGTGAGGTCAGAACCGCTTTGTTAACGAGATATAACAACGTTGCACAGTGACGATATATCGAACAGATACGTAGGGATATGTCACTCTGTCAATAATCTCTGGAAATAATTGGCCAATTGCTCATAGGATCTCCCGTTTGCTTCTTAATGGGAAGAATTATCTAAACTATTGAAGAATGTGCGATTAGCAAAGCCATAAAATATTTCCATTTTACTAGCGATGTAAAGAAGTTTTTGAACTCTCGTTATCCAGATTGGTCGAGACGTAACGGACTGATTTTGTGGCCTCCCGATCGCCGGATCTCACACCTCGCGACTTCTACATGTTGTTCCGTTTGGAGGGCGTAGTTTATTGGCTAAGAACCAAATCGCGAGGCGAGCTTTGGAATTTGATTCAAGTGATAATAATAATACAAATGCCTGGAATTTATAAGCGTTTCAGGAATTATCGTCTTCCCAAGACTCAGGTATGTATTTAAACTATCGGAGACAATTTTCAAAAATCTTATTAAATATTTTGTAAATATTCCGTTATGTAGATGCATAATTTATATAATAATTTAAATTTGTTATTTGGTGGTAGATATAAAAGAGATATCAATTTCGGACTTCAGTCTGATATGTTGATGTTTACAGTATTTGAATAATAAATGTCTCATTAATGAACAGAACACTTTTTTATAAATTGATTTTATCGCTACCAAAATCAAAACATGAAGTGACATTAGTGTTTTTTAGTGTATAAATATTGTGTTACAATCAAATAACTCGTTGACAATCGATGCGATATGCAACACTATAAATTATTCTAACTTTCAGATTTCTTCAGTCTACTTTTTTGGGTAGAAATCCGGATTTTTAGGAGAGATCATTACTGATTCGTACACTAACTACCACGATTGAAAAGTTGAAATCGTTTTTGTATCAACAGTCCATAAAAGGAATGATCAAACCGCCTTTAATATATTAAATACGCTAAGCTAATCCATCATTTGGTGTACAAATGTAAAAAATATATATTGACCATGTGGCCACTCACGAAATTTTGTTTATAGAAACTTTTCAATAATACAAGTGTTTGTGTTTGGTCCAAGTGGTTAGATTTTTGCTGGTACCATGTCCACGACGTGACAGATGGTCTTTCAGGGTAGCTCACGTCGCGTGTAACAAGTGCGACTGCACTTAGCCTTCTCCCTCCGTCACCCCTCAAACAACAATACTTTCTGGTACAGCCAAACTTTTTTTCTAATGGTACAGCCAGCTTAAGAAGGAAAGTTATGTCCTGATACATAAAATTAACGAAGCTTTAAACTGCTTAGATTAAGCAGGATGGATCTTAATATTAGACTAATAATATGACCATCGTGTTCTATTCTCAAAATAGAAACATCAGTTCCTAAAAACAAAAATTCGTAACACATTTGTTGGTGAAACATGGTAACAATGTTTACCAGGAATTCATTGCGTCACAGGGTTATGTATTAAAACTAACGTAGAATATTTTCTCAACTCTCGTAAACATTAAGACTCTCTTGTGTTAAAATATTATAAACAAATACGCTCGTAACTTGTCATATCTCTAATTTTAATTCCCAATATCTTCTGATCTTTGCTAGAAATATCTTAATGTTTATAAAATCTTCCCAGATGTATATAAAATTTTCTGATTGTATTTTGAGCACTATGATGCCTCCAATTTCTGGTACGAAATGTCGTAGCTACCATGTGTTATAGAAATATTTTTGGATTGATTTTATTAGTATAATACAATTGTTTATTTATGTATTTAATTTAGAATCATATTTTATAGCACCGAATTGTTTGATCTTCAGGAACTTGAAAAATATGTGGAGAGAAGTTTCCATCGTCCAATTTTCTGACTGTCCCGGAATTTTTTTTTCAAGGAACTGGGAAGAATCACAATCATAAACAGCCA